AAATTAGTACTAGGGAAGGTCATGCTAGCACGAGCCAACGATAATAGCTGGCAACAAATCCTAAATTCTTGATTTCTCACAGAAATAAGTGAATAATTGATGACTTAAAGCCCTCATAGGCACTGCTTTATCACTAGTCCTATTTAATGATAATTGCTTAGCTTGATTTAAACAGCCACAAAGTACTATGCCAGAGCAATCATGTTATCATATAAAATTTCTCTACACACCACATCATCTAAAGATGAAATGCAGTAGAATTACTTTGACTTGAATAACAATCATTTGGATGTGTCTGAAACGTATATCGTCTAATAGAATTTGACTAATCATGGATTGAAAAGAAAAAAGAAAAAAAAGTAATAAGCTATATCACTATATGTAACATTGTATATCATGTAGCATATATCTTTATCATAAAACTCACAGTGATGGTAACATGAGATCCTTCAGCCACAGGAATATCAGTTCGCCCGGCAATCTCCAACTGCATTACCCAAAATTTATAAAAAAAACAATCAAATTCTTCACTTCCAACAATCAAATTCTATTAACACGGTGGCACCATGATAACAAGTTACTTAAGTCAACTCTCAAGCGTCACACAATTCCACTCAGATATTTCTACTTATGAATGAATCAGTAATTTTCACTTCCCACAATCTGAAGACTAAAAATTACAAAACCAAAAAAAAAGGTGGTATTACCAGGTGCAAAGCATTTCTGGTGGCGAGGGTGGTGTACACATTTCCGTAAATGGTGGTGAGTCCGATCACGTCAACTTCCGGCGACTGCAGAGCCAGGAAAATCGCCATGGCGTCATCTGATTCACTCAAATTTTCAACCTCAGAAATCAAATTCAAGAAACAAAAAAGGTCGGAGCTTTTCACAAAATACGAGGGAGAAAACGAGTACCGATGCCTGGGTCCGTGTCGATGATGAGTTTCTTGCGCTCGGCCATGGATTTGATCAGAAAAATCTCGAGTTTTTCCAGAGGTTCTGATAGAAATACAGATAGGTTGATACAAATGGGCCTAATGCAATATAAAATAGTGAGTATTAGGTGTTTTACAGCTAGATTATACTCCCATATTTAAATTTTTGCTAATAATGAATTCACCTTAGGATAACTATTTTAATAGATTCAGATTTGATAGATGATTGTATTAAATACCGAATTTTTGTAATAAAGTGAATAACAAGAAAATTAGATAAATATATTTATTCATTATATTTGAATTTAACATAAATTCATATGATAAATTTATTGTGAATAATTGAATTACTAACCTAGTGGTGTGTAATAGATTTCTGTCTAGCTCTCACGACTTGATCTGCTGACCTGTTCGTAGACATGCAAAATGGACCGGGAGGGGTTCTCGGCGTTAGCGACGATCAAGTCAATTCCCATATGAAGAAGACGATGAACAATGTATGTAAAGCTATGTAAATATATAGAGTTAGGGAGGTGACCGACATATCAACTGTCGGAGGTGCCACCCGACTGGGTCCGCTTGTGACTAGACTGAATCAGTCCACCGGAATGGGGTAGTGTCCAGCTAGCCGAGCGTTGCGCAGTCCTTGATTTGGTGTGAGGCCGTCTACGATCGAAGCTCTCAGTATGCGACCAGTGGCGGAGCCACATTTAGGCCCACACTGATTNATAGTCCATATTACCTTTGTCCATTTAAATATAATTTTATATTATATATGAGTCCCTACAAAAGAAAAATCCTAATTATGAGCCCATACAAAATAAATAAATAAATAAAAATTCTAATTATAAGCCCATACAAAAAATTCTAATTTAACAAAAAATTAACATTGTATAACTTTAATAAAAGAGAGTCTTGCATCATAATTTAACAAGAAAAAATGACATTGCATAATAAAAGAGAGCCTTGCAATACAAAGGCCACGGACATAGGCAAAGAAAAAGAGAGAAAAAGGGGAAATAGGAGAGGAGAAAAGGGCAAATAGGAGAGGGGAAAGAGAGAAAATAGTCAAAAAGTTTATTAATATTTGATCCAATTGTTCGAGCAGACCACTTGCGATGTAACAAAATTTCTTTATATTTAATAATTTGGTGGAGATAAAAATTATTCTTCTTTATATTTTTTAGGTAGTGATAAATTTTTTATTTTTATGTAGAAATTGCAAATTCAATTCGTAATGTGCTTATAACTTTTTATGGTGTGATATGCCGAAATAGAGAATTTCAATTTATTGTAAATTTATAATATTAATTTTTGTATATCAGATATGGAGAGATATTTTCAAACAATGTCTCGTCAACAAAGTGTTTGGGAAAATGTCTCAAAGGGAGATACTTTGAACTTTGGCGTTGATTTTTCCAGTTGCAACAACTAGCATGGAATCAATTGAGCAATCGAATGAGTGATGTTTTGTTAAATGACAGACTACTAGTTTATGTAGAAAAGAAAACCTTCTTGAAAATTGGTAATGATGTTATTATCAAGCGATATCATGCCATGAAAACTCATAAAGAACAATTAGGAATGTATGTTTTTGTATTTACAATATTCATCATAATATTTTATATTCTTTTCATTAAATAATTAGTCCTTTGCTAGATCCGCCACTGTGTGCGGCCCTTTCTACTGGTCCTCGTGCTCCGGAGTAGCATTAACAGGCTGAGCCCAGTTAAGAGCGCAAACTATCTCATGGAGGGAAGGAAGAGAGGAGCCGGGTGGTGGGGCAGTGCGTCTTCGGCAGCGGACTAGAAATCAACACTGGCAATGAGCATAATCAAGTGCTCACTCTCAGAAGAAAAAGCAGAGATCGCCTCAGTCCCGGTCCAACAAAAGTAGGACGCGAGCCCTGAGGTCTCTCCTCAGAGACATCGTGCTCACTGAAAGAAGCCACGTCATGAGAACTGTCATCGTGAAGAGAATTGGACTCGTTGCTCACATAAGTGTCAGGATGGTCCGTCTTGTCGTCCAGGAGGTCATCGTCTTCGAGGGAGAGACTAATTATATCTCTAGATGGTCGAGTGGAGGAGGAGGGCTCATCCCCGTCTCGAAAGAGAGGAAATCAAAGTAAGAGTGGTTAGCCACAGAGGCTTGCTGGAGAGTCTAAGAGGGAATAATCTTGTGGACTTGTGCCGGCTAGGCTGAGAAGCCTTCTCGGTCTCGATGACATTCTCCACGACAACTTTACCCTTGTCGTTAGTCCCTGGGGACTCCTGCCTGCGGGCAGGGGCCTTACCCTTCTTGGTGCAGACTAATTATTATTGTTATATTATTATTATTAGTATTCTTATTATTATAGCACTTAATATTATTTGATAATTAGTAGCTTAGGGAATAAGCTAAGGTATAATTTGAGGGTTTTATTTAATGGGATCTTAGGCTTTGTTATGGATGGTTGATTTTGAATGAAAATAAGATATTGTTGAGTTTTGTGAGCTTTACGAGAGAGTATCTCGTTTATCCTTCCCACTCGTACGCTTCCCTACATCAGTTGGTATCAGCAATCAATACGATTCGCGATGTCGCTGGGACGACAAGATGCCGCAAACAAACAATGTGATGCAACCTTCAACGTTCGATTTCAACAGATCGACTACCGATTTGAACAGTTGGACGTGCGTTTTACGGATTGGTTTGCAGATCTTTTGACAGGGATCGAGGATTTGCATTTGACGCTTAACAACGTGATTGTTTCGGAATTGCAGACGAACCGTGATGGGGCTGTGGGCCATGGCAATCAGGGGGGAGACAGAGGCGGACGTGGGGAAAGCGGCTATGTCGGGGCACCTCGGCAGCAGTCCCCGTCGACTCTGAACAGCACGAAAAACAGAGAGAGCACCTGGTCAGCGGACAACCTGTTCGTTGGTTGCACGGGAAAGCACGACGAGGAGACCTTGGCCGATTTCCGATGTCGCAGCAAGTGACAGCTGGAGGAGGGTTTTGATTACCAAATTTCGCCCAATCGCGTAGCCCTAGACAGTGATTTCTGGCGAACTTAAAGCTTCAACCAACATCGTGGATTTCGAAGACGGGGTCTCGATCGCAAGGGTGCAGCTTTCGCAGGGTTCGATCTGCCGCGACGCCGCTTGGACGGCCGGTGCGAGGCTGCCGGCGACGACGGCACATACCGACGGTGATTGGAGGTGCCTGTTTTCGACAGGTTGCACTTTCCCATGAGAAATTTACAGCGTGCTGAGACGGGCTGGGGTCGGGATGGGCGGCGCATCGCTGAGGACGCCGGCGACTACCATATTCGCGCCACCTGGCCAGACGAACAAACCCTAGGCAATTTCCGGCCACGCGCACAGCGGAGGCCCGATGAAGAACGTGCGGCGGACTGGGAAGACGACCGTAGCACCGCTGACGGATGGCCCGATGGCCATGGGCGCGACCGGTGAGGGACCGATGCCGGATTGGCAGAGGTGCAGTGATGTGATTTGGGCAGAGATGGAGGTTATCGCGATGAACAGAGATGCAAAAGGAGAGATCGATATTATTTTCCCAATTTTGGGCCTGTGCAAGGACGACCCAATTCCATTTATTGGGACCAAGGGTAGAATGGATTTAATTCATATTTTGGGCCTATACACCCACAAGCAGGCTTTGACTTCGAGTTTATAGCTTCTCCAGATTTCGAGCCCGACACGTGCGATATCTACGATGGTCTGCCAACTTTTGATGAGAAGCCTCTGGTAACAAAGACATATTTTTGAAGCAATATGGATCCCGAGTGGGACATTGCAATGGTTGAGTCTTCGAATGGAAAGCCATCATTCACACCCGATTTTTTGAGTATTTTGGCCAAAGATGATTTTTCAGAGCCGAAGCCGAGGCTCAACAACTGGTGGGCCATTTTTCGATTGCCTATCGCGAAGTCTCCCAACAACGGGATGCTTGGCCGTTGTTATGGATTTGAGCGCGACGAACGATGTGGTATGTTTTGTGTTAATTCGGTTGTGTGGGCTTTGCATATGGTGGCGTGTACATGTGACTTTGCAGCAGTTGAGTCCTTGACCGAGATTATGTTTACCTTCGAGGTTGTTGAAAGACCTTCAACCTTCGTGTTCGATCGAGGGAAATGCCGCGGTATTCTTGTCATGGGGACGACTCCAACGAGAACGGGTCGGATTCGAGGCCGAATCCTGCTCAACCGGGGGAGAATGGTGCAGGCTAATTATTATTATTATTATTATTATTATTATTATTATTATTATTATTATTATTATTATTATTATTAGTATTAGTATTCTTATTATTATAGCAATTAATATTATTTAATAATTAGTAGCTTAGGGAATAAGCTAGGGTATAATTTGAGGGCTTTATTTAAAGAGATCTTAGGCTTTGTTATGGATGGTTGATTTTGAATGAAAATAAGATATTGTTGAGTTTTGTGAGTTTTACGAGAGCTCGTTTATCCTTCCCACTCGTACGCTTCCCTACATCATTTCCCCTTGGGATCCCCTAGAGCAATTGAGGGGCTCGATCTGGCTGCACGGCGGCGCGGCGAAAGCGACGGTCGGGGCTTATTGCCACTAATGTAGCAATAAGTCCTAATGTGAACCATGTGGTCACACAAGGTGCTGTCAGGAGGGACCTTCTCGTAAACCACCTTTCGAGTGATGGTCTTCCTTGCTTAGTTGAGCTGGATCTCGTGGATGAGCTCGCCATGGAGGTCTATCTCGACGCACATGCGTGCAATGGATATTCTTGTTCGAGTGGCCCTGGCTGGATGAACATTTATCGGGTTGACAATGCAGCTGAAAATCAAAAAGAGAACAGAAGGGTCATAAAGATGAGGAAGAAGACCAGGGAGGCAATACCAGACTAGAGCGAGAGGTGCATCAGTCGAGGGAGAGAAGTCCAAGTGTATTTAAACACCTGAGCAGTGCACCCGCAAATGATAGTTGTTGTCTTAAGCCACGCCGAATTATAATCATCCTTAAGGTTGAAAATGACTAAGTAGTGGTTAAAGTTATAATACTTGGGCGTGACGCTACCTTTATATCTTAATTTCCCTAGACCAACAGTAATATCCCTAATGAGGGGGACAATATAAGAAAACATAAATATTAGGATTTCTTTCATACGGCTCAACAAGTGAGAAAACATCGGGCTCAGGGAGACTTACTGTGTGTCGTCCGTCCTCGAAGCGAGAAATGGACCCACGGGGGTTGTCCTGATAGTTGTCAAACGTGAATTTCCATCGTTCTGTCACGCCTGCCTATTTGTCGGTGATCGCGTCCTGGAAAGAACGGGGACAGTTGGAAGTCACGACTGGAGTTGCCTCAGAAATAGTCGGGATGGATCCGGGGGCCGTGGAGAGGCCTAGGGTGATGCCCGTCGGGGTGCCCACCAGAGGTACTATGGCCTGAGAAGCTTCGGTGAGGGGGGCCGCGGTGCCGGTTGCTAGCGGGATGGGGCCTGGCTGAAAAACAACCCCGAGGCCAAGAATTCTAGACGTCGAAATTCGATTTCTGATGGCCTTGGGATCGCCGGTGGGGTGGCAGTGGTGGCAATCACCGGCAACAAAGAAGCTGCAGTTTGATGGGGCTGTGTGGCCTGGGGTACCTGATGGTTGGGTGCTGAGCTGTTGTAAAGTGGGTCGGGGTTGGGTCAGTGTGGGAATGTTGGTCTGGGTGGTGGGTTGAGTCTAGGTGAGACAGGTGGGCTGGGCTAGGTGTGAGATAAGGGATGATTGGAGAAAAATGGGAGTTAATGAATGTGGTTGTGAAAAGCTATGAGAAGAAGGAAGCCAAAAGATGAGAAGAAGGAGTTAGAACATCAGGATCAAAGGTAAAACCAAGCATTTTATCTGGAAGTGTACTGCAAACATCCTACCTGTTAGAGCTACTCTTCTCAAAAAAGGAGTTTCATTGGACACCATTTACCCAACTTGTGGAGATTCCATAGTTTTCAAAACTGAATCGGACCGACCGGTTCAAACGGGAACCGGCCAGTAAACCAGTTCGGGTTGATGTATAAAATCGCGTGGGTCTAAAACTGGTGTCAAACCGCCTGAACCGATTCAAAACTGATAAACGATAAAACAGAAACCAGTTCAGGTTGATGTATAAAATTGCGTGGGTCTAAAACTGGTGTCAAACCGCCTGAACCGATTCAAAACTGATAAACGATAAAACAGAAAAACTAAAACTGATTCATTCGACCCAATGGCTTCATTCTTGGGCTTCAAGTGAAGATGCTTTCTGTGGCTAATGTTATATCCTTTAAAAAGCCATCTCTTTTTCTTTATTTTCCCAATGTGGGATCTTTGTCATGTGCAATGCTTTATTAATTTTTTTTTGCCTTTTGCCTTTAGAAACCCAACACATCAGTGACGTCACTCATTAGTTTGGTACATATGTACCAGTTACCACATCAACTTATTTGATGTTCCTTTATAGTTCAAATGTAACAATAATTCAGTATGTGTCCATAATTTGTAAATATTTTGATAAAAAAAGTTGTAAAAAATAAAAATTTGATTTAAAAATTAAAATACAAATTATTTGTATCTATTCTCTCTATTCTGTAACTTAAATGTATATCAAAATATTAAAAAATATCAACATTATTCAACATTGTTGACTCTATTTATTTGAGAAATGTTATTATACACTATAAAATTAATGATAAAACTATATACAGTCATATATTATTCATATAAAATAAATAAAAATTACATATTAATTAAACCGGATCGACCGGTTTAACCACTGGTTCGACCAGTGAACCATTGAACTGGTAGCTTCACCGGTTCACTGATCGGTTCTATTTTGAAAACCATGGGAGATTTAGAAAAAACCTTGGAGCACCTATTCTTTCACTGCCCAAGAGCTCAACTTATACGGAAACTCTCTCATATTTGCTGGGAATGATGTAGACTCTGGTTTCTTTAAAGGCTGGTGGACAAAGATATGCAATGTCAACAAATATCCTACTTCAAAGGCTAGATTACATCTCACTGCTTACATCTATGGGGAATTTGGAAATCCGGAAACCAGCTCACTTTCAACAACTAGAGAAAACCAGAGATCTCAGTGGTGAGTGTTGCTTGTAGTGAATGGATGGAGTTCAGTTTCATTGTTGCTCGGGCTTGATGTGGGAAGCTGGTCCGTTAGCTACTCTGCCCACTTGACCTTATTTTGAAGTTTCTGTACTTCTGGTTTTGGTTGCTGGTTGACTCTCTTTCTTATTTTTTATCTCCTGTTTTTGTTTTCCTTGGACTTTAGTTGTTAGTTAGTTGGTTGTGGTTTTTCTGTTTTGGGTTGAGTAACTTACTAAGTTCTTCTAGTTCAGTCTTCAAATTACTCTTTTGGTTGCTTCTTTAGCAGCAAAGATGCGAATCATGCTACCGGATTTCGTGTTTTAGTCGCTGTTGGATGCTAGAATTCTTATCTTTGTTGGTTCTTTCCTATTTTGTTTTAGGGCACTTGCTCTTAGTGTTCCTCCAGTCTACCCTGTGGTAGTTCTTCAGATACTTAGCCCCGACTTATACATTCTCGTTTGAGTTATAGCATCTATCATTTTGAAAAAGAAAAAAAAAAAAAGAAATTTACTGGACAATTAGTCAATGACTTCTATTCAACTTCCATTTAGGAAGACGCCCATTCAAGTACTTATCTTAATTGAACTGCAAACTATCATTAACTCATTAATATCAGTAACTTCAAACTTCAATGCTGACCCCATGAGACAAAACCTGCTCAAAGGACCAAAAGCCAAAAACTGTTGTTACTTTCTTCCAACCAACGGTAAACTCCATTATTTGTTCATTTGAATAAATTTTATCACTTTTGTAAGTGCAGATTGAAGAAAAAAAAAAGGAGAAAAAAAGCAAAACGATGAAAAAGAAGAACACAAATGGCCCATTGCAAGATATCAATGGCCGATTATTACCTAATATCCATAATCTCAGCACCAAAAGACCTTCAAATTTTGCTTCCTTTTCGTCATCTTCTTCAGCTTCCGTTCCTTATGAAGCTCCAAAAACAAAATGCTGTTCAATAAAACATTCTCTGTCCTCAGAAACCTCAATTTCATCATCTTCCTCAAGAACCTATTTTCAGAAAATGCCGAACACTGATATCTCCAGAATAGCAAATGCACCAAAGCTGCTGTCCAAATCCAAACCAAAAGAGATACTCAGAAAACCCTTTTCACATATGAACAAAAGGGACCCACCCCAGAGCTATAATCAAAGAAACATTGCTAAACCCATCTGCAAAAATGGTCAAAGATCAAAACTTGCACCAGCTCCGAGCCAAATAGCGAACAAATTCAAAAAGGGGCCTTCGAAATTATTTCGGTCAAAGTTGAAGAAGAACCCGCAAGACAAGGGCCCAACTTCAGGTAATCTGATTAGCAACCCGAATTCTGATCAGAATTGTAGTCCCTTGGGAAAATTCGATTTAGATCCCGTGAATTTTGAAACTGAAATAGTGGATTTTTCATCACATAAAGTAGATAAAGAGAATATTAGTTGTTGTACTGCTGTCAAAACACCCCCTGTTGAGGCCTCATTATCTCCTGAGATCCAATCACAGTCCCGTTCCAAGATTCCGATCTTGAACTCTGAGTCGACGACCCCTGTTTTTTACGGCGCCGGTCACCTCATCTCGGGTGTAACTGACAGAAGAAAGTGCAGGCGTAGGGGGAGTCTTAAAGGAGGTTTCGAAAAAGCCAATCTTTTTCACGAAGACGGTGACTCGATTGAAGTCTCTCGGAATTCCCCAATTCCTGTGATAGCTGAGGCCTCAGTTCGGTGGGTCTTATCCCCATGCGATGAGGAGAATGAGGATTTTAATCATGTTTCGGCTGAAAAAGCATCTGATTTAATTTGCCCTAATATTGGTGATTATTCTGCATTATCCATTTCTTCCTTCAGTGATAGAAATATCATCAGGACACCGGATTCGGACATGTGGTCGGAAGAGGACGTTAGGCTTTTCCAGTCCAAAATTGGTATTGTTACAGAGTCTTTGAACAAAGTGGATAAATGGGACTCGACTGTCTTTCAAGACAATGCGGATAATAATGTATCTTCTTCTTGGGTGTCGAGTACTGCATTAGATAATTTGTCACTGTCCCAGATGATAATATCATGGCGGGATGAGAAAGTTTCAAAAAACGATGAATTTGATTGCTGTTGTTTGTTGTCGGATGAGGAGGCTGATGGTTCTTGTGGTGAAAGGAGGCTAGAGTCGTATGAAGGTACTGAAGGTGGGGGAGAAAAGGAATCGCGTGATAATAAAGACAACGAATTTGAGTTGGAAAATGGTTTTTGTCCAGTGCTTCTTGATTATGAACCACAAATTTGTGGCAGAGGGAAGGAAAATTTGTTGTCAAATGAGGCTAACGCGTGTGCACAGTCTACTTTTACCAATGAGGGGGCCTTAGCTGCTTCTAGTGATTCTGACTGGACTTTCTGCCGTGAAAGTCACTTGTTTCAGGTAAAAATCATTACTCCCTAGCAGCATGGTTCTTCAGTTCTTACCTGTTGAATGTTGACTTAGGACTATAATTTTTTGGCTTGCTTTGACTGATTGGTTGGTGTGGATTTCTGCGGAGTTAGTTAATCTGAAGGCTTGAGCTTGTTGAGGTTGTCTTTCGTCAAAAAATTCACTAATTCTTACATAAGCTTTTAAAGCAATTCCATTTTACTTGGTATTTGTTAATTGTACAGTTAACAAAAGCCGGATCAATATTTGATGGAGAATATGTATGAACCAAATGGAATTTCCTTGGCAGTTAGCCTACCCCGACTTGCTTGGGACTAAAGGCTATGTTGTTGTTGTTGTTGTTGTTAAAAGATAAATAGACTTTCAAACTGTAAAGACTTCATTCTTCATAATTAACTGGCATTGATTCAACAATATTGGTTATGCACATTGTCAAGCAAATGATATTATGTCAAGCCTAATTCAAGCTCTTCTTGGATCTTAAATAAATCCATAACACAGTCACTTGAATCCTAGTTTCTTATCCTTAGCATTGCAAAAACTGAATGTGCAAGCTAGTTCAAACTATCTTGAGCTCATTTACAAATTTCTTCTTTTACAAGTGTGATTTAGTGCAGATATACTTTCAACTTACTAATTTCATCCTTGTGTTGGGATCATTATTAGTTTGGAATTGTCTCCTTCATCAATAATGTGAAACTTGCATACAACCAGCTTAATTTACCATATATGTAGCCGAAACTTGCAAACAACCAGCTTAATTTACCATATATGTAGTCGAACAACGTGTGTCTATTTTTCATTTTTCATTACTATGACACAAGTTAATGATTTTATTTCTAATGTTGCAGGTGGGGAACCATAGAATTTGATATTAGATCTCCTTATGGCCAAGGCTTGTAAACGTGCATTTAGATACACACCGGCAGGCATTCTGAGGAAAGACGAGCAATCAGCTCCTCGTATCTTGGAGCTGACATTGGTTTCTTTCTATGTGGCAGCAAATTGGCTGCTTGATTCTAGTTTGCCATTAAAAAAAAAAATCAGTTGATAAAGATAGAACAAACTACAGCAACAATACCTGGCAAATGCATTTTCAGTTTCAGAAATTGCATTGGTCTCTGTTCATCAGCTAAACCCCTTTTAAGGGCAAAAATCATTTATTACATCTCTGTTCTCCAGGGCTTTTTTCTTGCAGTGCTATACAGTTTTGCTTCTATTTTAATAAACAAACAACATTTCTTGAAGTAAGGTGATAAGACATATTCATCATTTTTTTAAAACATTTTTTCTTGTCCATTCTGCACAACTTTTATGTATGCTGTTTCAAATATTATTGTTAATTATTTTGCCTTTCATGGGTGGTGCCATTTTATTTTAATTTTTTTTTTCATAATTTTATGTGTACAAATACAATTTCAATCATGCCCATATTATCAAATAAATATGTATCCACCAGCTCAATCAACTTATTACCAAACAATAAATTAGATAAAAATCATCACCTATCAAATACCTATTATTAGCAACTTTTACCTTCTGTTTCCCATTATATTCTCTCAGGCACAAGTATTTACAATCAACTCAAACTAGTTAAATACTAGATTAATTTTGGCCCAGGAAAATAGATTTTTTCAAGGAACAAAACAAATGAAGCCACCCAAGTTTCATTTTCTTATACATGATGATCTAAGTCAAAATAAAGGTGCCCTGTTTATGTGGTATTGTGGTTCCAACTCATTCAATTGTACCTATATTTGATGAAANATTTTCCCATAATAAAAAGTGTAACATCAATTCAATTTCCCACCAAACTCATACCAAAAAAACCATAGTCAAAACAAATCCGCTTTTCCCTCCTAACCTCCAAACCTCAACAAAAGAGGTACGCGAGAAGGAGAAACAATCAAGCATTCAAAAACAAGAAAATAATTTGAAAAAAATGGAAGGCCTAATTCCAATGGTGTGCAAATCCATCAAGAAGAACAGAAAACGGAGAAAATACGAATGCATCTCGTCCGGCAAAGCAAAAACCTACGATATCGAAGATTTCTACACAAAAGAAGCTAAAGAAAAATATTACAACTTCAATTTCAGCAGAAAACAACATCACGCGACGACGGGCTCTCGTGGGGCCCACCATCGTTGCTACAGCTCGGTGGACGTGCATAAGCCCAAGCAGCTCGTAAGGTTTAAGAGCCACAAGATTTTCTCATGTTTAAATGGTGTATGATTATGAAGTTGTGTTTTTCAGGCCCTTAATTGGTTTGAATCTATATATGATGTCACTCACACTTGTTTAAAAGAATCTAATTGATTTCGTATTAGTTTAGTATTATGTCATATCATTATGTGTTTTTGTCTACTTTCCATAAGTTCTTCACTTTAGATGGTGTGATATGCTGTTTTATATATATATATGTTGTGGAAAAACTAATGTTCAGCTTTGAGATCAAAACTTAATAATTCAAATTAAACAAAAACTATCATTGCAAATAATATCAACTAAGATTGGGTTAAGTGAAGATGCTTGGGAAAGCTAGTTTCAGCTCTACAAAATCATGTACTTAATTAACCAGGAAAGAAAGTCGCACGTGATTATTAATATTTTTTTATCATTTAAAAGTTACACTTTTATTAAATTTATTCTTAAAATTCAAAAATTTTCAATAATTTAATAAAAGAGGAAAGACATATACATAAATTATATAAATGTATTTGCATTGAAATTCTAATATTTACTGGTGTTAATTAAAAGTTATAATTAACTATAAATAAATAAATAAATTTGTGTAAAAATTTAAAAATGAAATCAATCAATTTTCCAATGATTGTTGATTGCTATCATTCGTTAATTAATATTGTCTTCATTATTGTTTGAAACGATGATTTGTTATTTTTATTGATGTAATTTTTTTATATCTTCCTTTGTTGTCACTGTTTATTGTAGCGATTAGATTTAATTGTTAATTCAATGTTAATCAATGACGTTTGAATGTTTTCTCTTACTCTTATCGTTTGATATCAAAAGACACTCCGACCGGCTTTGTGTGAATGATTTAAGCCAAAAACAATCATGTGTTATACATAAATGTATAATTTTTATTTTAAAATATTTTTTCATTAAGTAAAGTATATATATTCTATTTATAGGAATATATACTTTTTTAATAGTATAAATATGAATTATATGTAAGAAACTATGACTACATAACAACTATTGAATCACCAAACATAGATAGCACATATATAGTATTTGATGCGTCCCAATATAAAATGTACACTTAATTTATTTTCAAATTGAATTGCATACAAGACAGAACAATACAACACTTGGAAATTGATTAAATCACCACACATCACATACAATTACAATGAACAACTCTGCATAATAGAGCCTCTCATTTTCTTGTCCTCACAAAGGCTGCTATTAAGAACCATATGAAAGTACATTTTCCAGATACAATTACACAATTAATTGGTCAAGTGGATGGTGATGAAGCCCTTGGCCCATTGAGTATGTGTTTTCTCAATCCAGGGACATGAACTTCCTGAAAGTACATTTTCCAGTCTATCTTCCTTGCATTTATTTCAAACTCAACTTGCTCTTCATTGCTCATTTTTCCAATTAATTTCTCGGTGTTGCCATTGTGGAACCTATATACATAAAANAAAAAAAAAAAAAAAAAAAATGTAATATCAAGATTAATAATATTGCTATTTAGTCGAGTGATATTACGATAGTAGCTATAATTGAGCATTCTAATGTCATGAAATGACCCACATTACTTCACTTCATTATTAGTATACACTTTAAATATGTTAGAATATCATTTGTGAGTTGTCCCACATCGTTTATACATGAAAAATATAGACCCCGTTTAACAGAAACTGAGGGAAAAACGGGTGCGGACCCACTAAACATGAAGTGCACCAGGACAGGGGAAACCCATATCAAGCTTAAGTGGGGTTCCATCCCAAAACTAATTGGTGAAAAGAGAAATAGCCCATTAAATTTATAAGGCGGGTCTATTTTCAATGTATGGCACGGTCACCAATAGAACTGACTCTAATACCATGAGAGAAATTGGGGGAAAACCGGTGCGGGTCCACTAAACATGAAGCGCACCATGACAGGGAAAAACCCATATGAAGCCCAAATGGGGTTTCATCCCAAAACCAATTGATGGAAGGAGTAACCCATTAAACTTATAAGGTGAGTCTATTTTCCATGTATGAACGATATGGGACAACTCACAAATAATATTCTAACAAAATATTAAACAGTATAAACAAAATCACGCCATTATATTATTAAGTAAGCATTTGGTCCAAATATTGCGACGAGTTGACCGCCTAGGCTCAAGCATATCTAGATGGTTAGTGTTGGTGTACGCCCTAGGATGACAATTTAGCCCGATCTTGGCCTGACCCGCCCTGCCCAGTAGTGTTAGGGTCGAGGTCGGACCCACCCCATTTATAAACTGGTCGGGCTGGGTTTGGCCCGTTAAATAAACGGTCATGTTCGGGTAGTTAAACCTGCCCCGGCCCCGATTTGCCCCTCCCCGACCTGCCCAGTTTCTATACTAGTATATTTAATTTATTATATATAAATTACATACATTTTGATGTCATGTTATAATCATATTATATACTACCTCTTTTTTTTTTTTAAATGTTATTTTGGCTTTATCAACAATTAACTAAATAAATGACGTTTTGTATCTTTTGTACATATTTTTTTCATGAGAAATGTTATAGGTACATAATATTGTATATAGTAGTGTACATAACACTCACATTGAGTGAGACCTACCAAAAATAAAAAAATAAAGTGGACCTCACTCCATGTGAGTGTTTTGTACACCTCTATGTACATTTATTATGTATTTGTAGTATTTTTTCTTTTTTCATTATTGCCTTCATCTAGCTAATAAATACACTACGTTTTTTCATATTCACTCTCATCTTTTCTCAAAACATCTATCTCTATCCTCATTAATGAAGGTTATTATTGACAATAATTTTTTTTTATTATTGTATAACTTCTCAAAACAACACTTATTATAAATAAAGAGAGATTACTACATAAGGTCAAAGTTTCACTTTGTCAAACCCACATGTCACCAAATTTTCTTGTGAGGTAGTGTTTTGTGAGGTTTACAAACCTCCTTTTCAAGGTTTTACCACTATAAGGCACAACGTGGAGGTTTGTAAATTCAAAACCGCTTTGACAATATAAACCTTATGTAAACCTCATTTAAATAATAAAATACTGACAAACAATGGGTAAGTGGGAGAAAATTGGGTCCCACATTTTACATCTTACTTTTTACTTTGTTTTTATTTTTTATTTTTGGTTTTTTCCTTGAACTTGCATGTACATATCCGAAAATTATCATTAATTTTTCAATTGTAAAAACAAAATAATCGGAACCTTAAAAAATCTTAAAAATATAATTTTTTTCATTTTTCAATAGTAAAAACATATCCGCTTTGACATATAATTTTTTTCATCTTAAAAAATCGGAACCTTAATTTTTCATTAACAAAAGTCTTAAATTTCATATTATTTTCATTTTTCAATAGTAATCGGAACCTTAAAAATCTTAAACTCCACATGATTTAAAACAATAAGTACTTAAATTTCAAAAACTCATAAATATAATTTTTTTTCCTATTTAGTATTTAAATTTCAAAAACTTACATGAAAGATAATCGTATATACATAATTATATGAAACATAATTTAAATATATTATATATTTTTTAAGATTAATATTTAGAAAAAAAATTGTACTCAAAATTTAATCGTATATATATAATTTAATGTTTTTAGTAAATATGAATTAAATTGATATATAGATTAAAATAAGTGAGAAACATGGGGCCCTAGATTTATGGTTATTGAAGGTTTGTGATATTGAAAGTGAGAATGAGATTTAGATGACGTGGAGTATTGGAAATGTAAAATGTAAGGTTTATAACTTTAATGTTCTCATAAGCGGCAGTCGGCAGACATTCCCACTTACTTCCACCTACAATTTTTTTTTTTTCCTTTTTTCTTTTTATTTATCTTGTCTATGCACGTCCATCTCACTCACACACGCACACGCAATCCTACAAACTACACTTGCGACGACAACGACGACAAGATCTGTTATCGACGACGGGTGACGATTGACGACGGCGACTTGGGCTAAAGGGTAATGGGTCTCAATTGAATTATGGTTTTATTTATTATCATAAATTTGGGATTTAGTTATGTAGGCAAGAAAAGAGAACTTGGCTTCATGGTCTTGGCTCGATTTCAGCCATGGTTTCGGCAATTTGGGTTGATTTTTGAATTTAAGGGTNAAGAAAAAATACCTATACTTAATGAATTTGGTGGAAGTAAATCTAACATTTTCTTTTTAATAGATTTGAATGAAAAAAAAAAGAAAACTAAACACTTTTTCATATTTCCAGAATTCTTGTAGTTAATTGATTGTTGTTTCTTATCTTAATTATTTAAAAAAAAACTAATATTATATATTTAATTTGTGTGTGATTGATTACTTAATTTGTAGGGTTCTTAAAATTTTATATATTAGATAAAATATTTCACACATTATAATTTATTCTTTAATATCATATTATGGAGAAATATTTTTAGAAAATGTCTCCCCAAAAAAAGTGCATGTGAAAATGTACTCCTTTCAATCTAAATTTACTTGAGTTGAATTCTTGGGCGAAATAAAATGCAATTATAAATCTAGTGCTTTTATTATAAAGCGATATCACCTTATGAAAACTTATAAAAAATAATAATCATGAATGTGCGTTTATGTATTACACTTTAATTATTAAATATCTTTAGAAAAAAATAAAAATAAATAGGCCCTACTCAATTTATGAGCTAGATCCACGATAAAATTTGTGTAGACACAACACATGCACCCATAACTACACGTACCTCGCGTTGAAAAACCCTACAAACTCGTACAGCTTGCATAGTTGCTCGGCATATGCAACCTTTGCCTTGCACCGGTTTTGGATATTCTGTTTATCGCTAGCAACCGTGTGCTCTGACCCGGCACGTAGTGACATTTCCTCTCGTGTGTAACGGGAAAAATCATTGAAATTGTCGAAATACTCAATTCTAGAAATACTTTGAGATTCACGTAGAGGCGCAGAGTTGAAGTACTCGTAAAGGTATTCGAAAAAATCCGAATATTTAAGAGGATTTGCCACACTTGTTGCCACTTGGTAGACTTTAAGCTTTGGCTCCTCTGCATTTATTCCCTCATTTGCTATAGCTGCAATTGTTGTGTTTGCTAACATATCAACTGGTATCTGAAAGAAAAGAGAGAGGGAGAGATTAATTAAATCAAATGAAAATTAATAGTATCTAATTTTTTTTTAAAAATTTATTTGAAAATGGATGGATTGTTTTATCTTACAATATCCATAGTAACTTCAGGATTTCCAAAGAAAGCCGGAAGCTGTCCTTTTCCGTAAGAAAGGATAACAGGATCGAACATTCTGCATTGCATAAGACGAAAATCGAAGACTGTATTAAGTAAAACTAAAGTATAAAACAATGTAGTAAGGATTTAAATCATATATTTATATATAAGCTAGAGATGATGTAATGAATGAACCTATTTCCTTGTATCCATCCAGGGATAGGCTCTTTGTAGCTACTCTCGATGACAGTCGGGCGGATGATTAAAACCGGCACTTCTCCTCGAATTTCATCGAGCACCATTTCACCTATAGCCTTAGTCAAGTGGTACGTATTATACCATCCGAAAAAATCGGCCCTGTTAAGCCAATACAAAAATTAGTTTGTGGTATAAACATTTTGAATTTTTTTGTACGTCGTCTTTTGGGGCAAGATCGAATTTTTCTTTGTTCTTTCTTCTCTTTACTCATATTGAAATTTCTAATCATATGAAAAAAAAAAGAACATTTCTTTTGTAAGCTTTAAATGTAATGTAATAATGTAGACCAACCCCTTCCCCTGTGTGTTCAACCTTATTGTGCTTTTAAAATTTCATGTGAAAAATACTCTACATAGTACTAGCTACAGTGTCTGTATAAGTACTATCAATCGACATATTTGTCGATGTCTTAATAAATGTGCCGTATTTTTAATTTTCAACCTGGCGTCCAGGGGGCTTATCCTCATTATTGTTCTGTTAAATGTGTCCCTTTTTTATTGTTTGGTATCCTGCACATTTTTTTTTTTTTCTTTTGAAACAATTATTTCTGGCTCTTAAATATATATAAATCTATACAAAACCTTTCTTGGCCAAGTTTCTTCAGATTTTTGGTGGCGTCATAGTCCGTGGAGGCCATCGATGATTTGAAGATCATGTTGATCTCGTCAGCTAAGTCCAGCCGAGCGCATGATTTAGGCCAAGTATGATTAGATAAGTTATCTTCTTTTTCTTCCTTTCGTCTGTTGTCTCCCATAACTAGCGGCTCTTCCGAAATTATCCCTTCTCGTTTTCCATTAACATATGCTGCAAATAAGAGTAGTTATTAGCAAGTGCATGTACGCATTATTTGCGCATTTATTAATTAATAACGTAATTTGAAATATGGGTGAAGAGCTTGAGGTTCTTGCAGGTCTTTGCGAACCTCATCAACCGTTGAGGGGCGCTCATGTTCGCGGCTAGCAACACGTCGTACCTGGAAAAATTGGAAAAATATATATATATATACATAAACAATTTATACAATTAGTTCACTTTATGATGAACAAAAATAGTCAAGCAAGCAAGCTAAGTTAGGAATATTAAAAACAGAAAACAAACAAAATTTTCCTTTAATTTAACTAAAATTTGATATAGTTAAGTACCTCTCGTTTAAGGTTGTGCTGGCGGCAGATTGGATAATGACTTGGACGTCTCTTCTAATAGCATCAATGCATTCGGAGCTCATTCCCATGTTCGGTTCACAAATATTTCCAACTACGGGTATCATCTTCTCCCTCACGAAATCCTCGTACAATGGCCCGTGTTTCTTCCTCAGGCATTCGAACAAGTTTGAGTTTATTATCTGAACAAAATAAATTATTTCAGTTAGTTAGTTAGTTAGATTAATAACTAATAAGTGAGTCGTGTACTCAGAGAAATTTAATTATCATACTTCTTTAGTGAGCCTTTGGAGTGCATCCTCATCATCCTTGGCCTTGATCAGTAAATACACTTTCCCCACTGGTGTTGATCTTAATATCTTCTCCAAAAGCACTGAAAAAAAATTATATATATATATATATATATCATCTTAATTATGCTTAGCTTAGTCAATGGTGTAACTAGTAATTTTCTTTCATAAAAAAGTAATAAAAAAACTACTTAAGAGAGAGACCTTTTCCTAGGAGGCCAGTGGCACCAGTTAAAAAGATGTTTTTTCCTTGGAAAAACTTCACTATCCCGAGACCCGAACTCTCTTCCTCCTCAACAAGCTCGTCTTTAGGCAGCTCCAGCTGGAGAGGGTGACATGGCGAAGTGAAATAAGAGTAGCCGTTGTAAAGCACGCCAGTTTTCCAACTAGTCGAACCGTGCATTTTTCGGCAGCTGCCGACATTATAATTGTAAGGGAATAAGGATTGTTTCAAAGAAGAAGTTTTTATTAAAGGAGGGCAGAGCAAAGAGCTTTTAGTTGACAACATTGTGCTGCTGCTGCTTATGAATGATAGTTTTGTTATATAAGGAAGCAAAAAAAAGGTGTGTTGTTGGCTGTGGTTTTGTCTAAGAAGCCATGCATGTCTATTTATAGCGAGAAAAAATGATTTTCTCCCATGCTTAAAGGGGTTAATCGGAGGATTTTTGTAATTGTGCCCACGTTTTTGTTGTGGAATGAAAGTAACATTTTTTTGTTTTCTTGCCTTGATTGGATCTACATCAAGCAATGCCAGCTACCATTTTGGGGGGTTTATGTGTGGATATTTTTGGGTAGTAATAGGAAAGAAAGTGAAAGTGAGAATAATCCGAATTAGATACCCAAACATGACGGGCTTTTCATTTTTGTGACAATTGTTCATACCAAATCGGTTTTGTTACATAAAATTTCGCCCTTAGATCAATTTTAGTTAGCACATAAAACCTTCAGTATGAAAATTGATTAAGTTGAAACATTCAGTTTGTTAGAATATCACTCGTGAGTTGTTCCACATTGTTCATGTATGGAAAATAGATCCACCTTATAAGACTAATGGGCTACTCCTCATTCCACCAATTAGTTTTGGGATGGAACCCCATTTGAGCTTCATATGGGTTTTTCCCTTCTTTCATGGTGTCCTTCATGGTAGTTGGCCAGCACCCATTTTCCCCCAGTTTCTGTCATGATATCAGAGCCGGTTCTATCTTGGACCGTGTGATGACATGATATCAGAGCCGGTTCTATCTTGGACCGTCCCCAGTTTCTGTCATGATATCAGAGCCGGTTCTATCTTGGACCGTGTGATGACGTACCCGTTTATCTTGGACCGTCCCCAGTTTCTGTCATGATATCAGAGCCGGTTCTATCTTGGACCGTGTGATGACGTACCCGTTGTTTATCCCCCACGTACCTGTTTATGGGAGTCTGTTTGTAGTAGGGCTTGGGGCACCCAGCTCAGTAGACCCACCTTATAATACTAATGGGCTACTCCTTCTTCCACCAATTGGTTTTGGGATGGAACCCCATTTGAGCTTCATATGGGTTTTTCCCTTCTTTCATGGTGTCTTTTATGGTAGTGGGCCAGCACCCATTTTCTCTCCGTTTCTGTCACAAGTTCTAACGTGCAAAAACACACAAAGTTTGAATATCAAATTAGATTTTTTATTTTAAATATCGTTTTACTATCTATTAACAAGGACGGATCTAAGAAATTTAATGAGTGGGGGCCTAATTATTAAATGAAAAAATATAAAATATTATACGAAAACTACAAATACAAAAACATACATTTATAGTCGTTCTTTACGAGTTTTCATTGACTGATATTGCTTTATAATAACATCATTATCAATTTCAATAAGGTTTGCTTTTCTACATAAAATAGTAGTCTTTCATTTTATCAATCATCACTCATTTGATTGTTCAATCTATTCTTAATAATATTCATTGCTGAAAATACTCGTTCCACGTTAGTTGTTGCAACGAGTAAAACAAACGCCAACGTTAAAAGCTTGTAAACCAGTGATACAAGAATTTCCCTCAAATCTTTTTAAATTCAAAGTATCTCATTTTGAGACATTTTCACAAGCACTTTGTTGACGGGCCTTTTTTAAAAATATCTCTTTATATCTAATATACAAAAGCAACATCATAAATATACAAATGCTCATTCCTGTCAAGTACCATTTTGCGTAGCTGAATAATGTTGTATTTTATTTATTTATTTTTCTCTAGGCAATAAATTTTGTGATTTTTTAAGCTTACACATAATATTAAATATCATCTGAAATCAACTATTACCAATGTAAATAAGATATATAAACTTATCATCATCACAATTCACATCTGTCGAGCCTACATCGAACACGAGAACAGAGAAAAGCTTGCATATTCATGACACAAAATAAAACACATCTAAAATCTACAATTTTCTTCTAAAATGTATGCGTGCTTGGATAAAATTTTAATTACGAGCCTTATCAATCGTGTAAATCCAATATTAAAAGATAAATGTATAAGAACACATACTCAGAAGAAAACCAACAAATTAATTTTGATTCGCCATTTAATAAATTTATTAGTTCAATTACCTAACTAGTTAAGTATTGAGCATCAAAATTAGAAGAGACATAACAAATTTGCAGGTGATAATCGAAAATTGACAAACCCTTCCTCCTTTTCTCCTCTTTCCCCTTCTTTTTATTTCCCTCTGTAGTATGTGTTCTTTCGTTTGTCTCTCTTTTTATAATTTTTTTAATCATTATGTTAAATACTTTATTAGTTTGTTATATTAAATTAATTAATTGAGCTCATATAGGTTAGTAATAGTAATAATGTAATACTAGGGCTTATATGGAGTAATATTATTTTTTTTTTCCAGTGTGGGCCTAGACCCACACTGGTTCTCATGTGCCTCCGCCACTGTCTATTAATATATAATAAACTAAGAGGATGCTTGGATACAAAACTACTCAAAAACATTCAAATATTTTTAACTCAATCACTTTTTTTAACTGAATTTTAACTCAACCTCACTATCATCAATATTATTAATATAATTAAATAATATCGACTGTTTGTAGTAATTTGGGGGTAGATGGTAACCGAGCTACCCGGACTCGGGTCGTTCTCTAAGGAAGGCTATTCGGAGCTTTGTTCATTATCTAGTCGTCAATGTACATAACCAAAAATAAGGTCATAAACATGCTACTCGCTTGATTTGAGGGTTGATTGAGCTAATTTTGCACTAAGAATTAAAAGCAAATAAAGAAAGGTGAGAGATTGGGAAGAAAAGATCAAACTTTGGTTGCACGGAGGATCCATAACTCAAGAAAACGAAAACAAATAAGAGAAAACATGCGAGCAAGGTGATCTAGGTATTCTAACACGAGCTTTCTACACTAAATCATCACGCTTTGAGCAAAGTCTATACCTTTATACAAGATAAGCACGTATCGGATTCCTAACACACGTAAGTAAGCAATGAAAATAAAGCAAAGACCTAGAATCGAGCATAGACACAAAATTCGAAAAACAAACTCGAACTAGCAAGCCTTAAGCAAGGTACTTACTCTCCTATCACATGCCCGGACGAAAATAGTGCGTAAAACTCGAGTCTTGATGAAAAATAAGATTGTCGGAATTCGCTGGAAAAATCGAGTCATGAACCTCCAAACCAAAGCATAAAAATAAAAGAGAGAAAATAGACGGGTGATGTCCAAAAATACAAAGCACAATGTCTATTTATAGCTACACCATAAACATACACTAAATACACACACATTTAGTGAAATTCTGCAGTTCATAGGTCTCGAAATCTTGTTCGCAGCGAGTTTGAGGTGAAAAATAGTGCGCACGGTGCGTTTCACGGGTTGCCAACAGGGTTTCGCAGCGAGTGCCTTGATTTTTGCCTCGGATTGCCTTTCGCAGGTCGCGAGTCTTCGTTCGCTGTGAGTGTCGGCGTGGGTGGTTCCTTTGTACGCGCGTCTCGCGGCACGCCAACGCGAGTTCGCAGCCAGTGCGGGCATGGTGGGCTGTCGCGCGTTTCGCTAGTGGCGGAAAAAGCCTCGTAGCAAGTGTTGTGGGTTTGGGCGGTCGCGCACTCGCTTCGCGAGTCTCGAAAACGAACTCGCTGCGAATGTGCAGGCTGCGGCTATCTCGCGCGCGCCGTCTCGCGGCACGCGAAGGCTCGTTCGCTGCGAGTGCTGGAGTTTGGCAAGGCTGGCACGAGTGTGTCTTGAGGCTCGCGAACGCAACTTCGCTGCGAGTGGCCTGGTGCACGGTTGCGGCTCAAAATTCGCCCGGGATGATTCAAATAACTCGTCTCTAAATGGCTCGAAATCGTAAGCAAAGACAAGGGCTCTGAAATGGCACGAACGGTCCGTCTTCCCGATATTGCAAATTGGACCTAAACAACACACCAAAAGAGACGCGAAAATATGGTTAAATAAAAAAAACACATAACAAAAACAAAAACACATAAAACACGGAAAAATGGACCGGTTGACTCTAAAACGAACCTAAAAACGACTCAACTAAAGCACATAAAACAGAAGAAAACACTACAAAAACATAACAAACATCAACCAATCATTCTTACACATCACATCAATTTTAATTCACTATTCATCACTCACATAATTTTAACTAACCATCACTTCAAATCACCTCTCCTACTTTTACATCAAATCAACTTTAATTATTTTATTTTAAATATTATTTTAATATACCCACTAACAACTAACAACTATTATTTGATTATGTGCATTTGCACAGATATAAAACACGTTTTTGTTTGTATTTATTAATGAGACATGTACTTCTATCATATAAAAATTATTACTTTTTCTTAAGTTATTTTTATCATTCAAAATTAATTGAGATTTAAATTTTATTTTAACCATGCAACGTTTACATTAGTAACATGAATAAAAGAATTTTTATATTTGTGGCATATATTAAGAATATTAACATAAATGAAAAAAATTATTGGTGTTTCTGATTTTTAGAAAAAAAATATGTGTCAATCATATTTTTCTTCCAACAATGCAACCAAATATAGCGGTTACAACTCTGAATGTGTCAATCAACTTTAAGTTCCAACATTAGCCGTTACACATTTGATTATTTTGCAACCAAATTTAGAATTAATTAAGTAACTAATTCAAAAAATATATAATAAAAATATATATATTAAGGTGTAACGGTTTTAACAGATTAGTGAGTAATTACTTAAAAAAAATGTAACTCGTTTTGGAGGAAAATGAAAATAGATTTTATTAAATGTTTTATTACATGCATCAGCTAGTAATTATATATATACTAGTAATCAACATGTGCATTTACACAGAGACGAATACTTTAAAAACATAAAAATATAAAAAAAAAACAAAAATAAATCATAATTTGATTCATGAAAAAAAAAATATGAATTAAGAAAATAACTCTGAAAATTGATTTGATCAAGTAATTGCTATGGAAGAGCCGTTACAACCATTTTCTTTATGCTAATATACCCAGCCATTTTCATGAGTGGGTGTGACTTAAAATTTGAGTACAATTTTGTAACTCCCTTGATTGGTTTATGCTCATAATTTATGGCATTCAAGCAAGTTATTTTGTAACTTAAAAAGGAAATTGAATGTTGTAAATTTGGAGGGAGAATAAAATTTAATGCATGAT